CTCATAAATACATGATGAAGTCTTGAGCTAAAAAAGTTCTAGTAGACAATTCTAGTAGAAGAAAAAGTCACACGAACCCAACCATTTTTCCGTTATTTAAGGCGGAAGTGTATATATCAAACCAGGTTTGTAATTTAAGCGACCGTCATTTTTAGAAGTTGTGTAAAAATAGGGAGCAAAAATAATTGTGTTTGATTCAGAGGGATTCTATTTATAAATTTATTTATAAGGAAAAAATATATTTTAGGACTGTTACTGACAATTAATAATTGTTGCCAGATGCGTTTAAATTAAAAAGCGACTAAGAATTTGGAAAACGTGGAATTCTTGAAAGACTGCCTAAGAACGCTGGGTTGTTTACTTATTCTCTCTCAGGGCTGGTAATTGTCATTGCTTTTCATTTTGCATAATGCATTTATTGCTCGTTGGATACTAAAATATGACCAAATGTCGTCAGATTGTAAATATGAAACAAAAACTTTGGAGACGTATGAATTGAAGTAAGACTCTTCTTTGTATTACATTTGAAATTTAAATTATTTTTCAATTTCAGCATTACTTTTCTCTTTAAAGTCTCGACAGTGTCATAATTTTACGCAAAAATCAAATTAAGGTACCACATGGGGAAATTACCGATACATCACTGAAACAAAATGCAGTTGACCAAGTACAATTATCTTTATTTGGGACATGTGTTTTGTTACGCCCTAGGAAACCCCATAGTGTTTCATTTCCTAAAATGACAATTTTATAATAATATTTTCTTGCTTTTATTTATTTATTTTTAACAGACTAGAGTATACATATTCATCCCATACATGTGCTATATTTGTAACTCTGTAAAACGGTATTGCACGGTTGTGCATACAATATTGTGACGTCATTTTAAAGATGGATGCTTTACATTCATTATAAGTGCGTCAATGAATGTTATTTTTAGCAGGAAACAGTTCTCTTCTTTTTGGAATGTGATAAATAAAATATTTAGAAAGCATTTATTTCTCTTCATTACGAAATGTTTTAAACTCGTCAGATGACAGCATAATATAATTTATTTAACTCATTCAAAACATTCAGTATGTAACTTACACTCATTTTCTATTCATTTTATCACATAAACGGCCCAGGAGTGTAATAATTATTTTTAATAGAAACGCTATTACTTTAGTGTAATAACACTTTGACGTGACGTTCTTTTCGATATATGCAATGAAAACGTGCTAATGTGGGCGCTATACTATAGGCGCGTGAAGGAAAAATTGATCATTTGAATTGCAAAATATTCTTATTTGAAAAGAATATTGTATTTATCGCCATAAAGGTGCTAGTCGCATTGATTTGACCATTACCCAAGTACGAAACTTATGGGTATGCCTGTTCACGGTGTCAATATTTTCCACCGGGTGGTAATATGGTTGGAGTTTCGCATGGAATCAATGCAATAAATATATTTTTCTATCAAAATTGACTATGATCACAATAATGATTGCTTTTTTATATAATTGTAGCATTTTACGGACTTGATAGGCAAAGAATATGAGAAGAATATCAACAAGGAAAGACGACATTCATTTAACGTAGTCCGCAACAAACCCAGCCACAAAGCACCTTCGGTTAAGTACCTGGCATGGCACCGAACAAGAACAGGTGAAGGGCGGAGCAAGGAGGGGACGTATAAAATATTATTGTTTATAACAAACAATTTAACAATTTAATAAGAATAATCACTGGAAATTTTAAGAAAATATCATAGACAGCAATCCATAAGAAAGTCTGATACAGAATTATGATGTAGGCCCTATTTTGCATTGCAAATAGGTGCACGTGAACGACACGTCATATAGAAATACTAATACGTGACTGATTGTATTTTCCTGTTGTCTTCTGGTTAAACAAAATTTTGTTGATACAAAACAAAAGTTGTTTAAATTGTTTAAAACTTGTCACATTTGAATTTTCTTACAATGTTTGACATGATTTGTTTTGTTTTAAACGCTAAAAAATGAGTTTTATTGATTTGGTACATTTTGGACTGAATGTTTTTGTGTTTAGTTTTTTCCTTTACTGATTTATAGTTTCTACGTCAGGTCATATTGTTTTAAAACAAAAAGTATAATAAATACAGTTACTTCAAACTATTATAAATACAGTAACTTCCCTTTATTAGGATAATTCTAATTGGAATGGTAAGGGAATGTCACTTTTGTCAACATTACAAGTCGGATAAAGGTTGTGAAAAAAAAATCAAATTTAAAAAGTATGTCACTGTATGTGAACCATTGATATATCGTATGCCAAAAATCTATTCTGTTTAGAAAGATTCCCTTGAAGCTATTTATGTATTTATCTATTTATGTCTTCTAGTGACACGCCAACAAGCAATTTTAAAGCGCCCCTTCTTACACTTAACTTAACATTGTTAAGAAATGATTAATTTTCCCCATCAAAATAACTTTATATTTGAGTTCACTAGAAGGTTTTATTTTTCATGTGAGGAAGTAATCCAGCTAGCTTACAGAACGTCGGTGGTTCTTCTCAAGTAACCGTTCGTGCACATAAGGATACCTGAGGTCTTCCTCCACCAGTAAAGCTGGAACGTCGCCATATGACCTATATACAGTCTTTTTCCGATATTTGTGAAGTTTACGGAGAGGCTGCTCTGTCAAAAGGTCCATTTCAAAGTAGATGAAGCGGTTTAAAGACTGTAGAGACGAAAACTGAAGACGAAAGACATGCAGGTAGACCAGTGACTGTAACAGATGAAGAAACAGTGGCTGTCATTCTGGAGTACAAACTCCGAGATAGACGAGTAAGTGTGGAACACGTAGCAGATAAGTTCGCTATTTCATATGGTACAACTCAGGGCATTATGCCTGATAGATTAGGAATGCGCCGCGTTTCAGCAAGATTGTTGCCTCGTTTGTTGACGTCGGAGCAGACGGGGGTAAGGTGAAAAGGTGTCAGTAGTATGACAGGAGGTATCGTGAAGAAGGCGATTACTTTCTAAATCGAGTGATTACATGTGATGAAACGTGGATTCACTTTTTTGAACCTGAAAGCAAACGTCAGAGTTCTGTCTGGAAGCATCCTTCCTCGCCTTCCCCTACAAAAGCGATAATATCCAAGACAGCCGGGAAGGTAACGGTCATAAAATTCTGTGATACATACGGTGTAGTGCTAAACAATCTTGTTCCTCCGAAAACGACAGTCCCTTGGAACTATTATGCAACATTACTAAGAACGGAACTTATGGCGGCAATAAGCAGAAAGCGCCAACATCTACTTAGGTCCGGATTCATATAACATCACGACAACGCGCCGAGCCATTCAAGCCACGTTTTCATGGATAAACTTGAAAAACTCGACGGCGAACTGTTACCACACTCACCCCGAACCTAGCAATATGTGACTTCTGACTATTTCCAACTTTTAAAAACAGTCTTTGTGGTACGAAATTTGAGTCAAGAGAGGAACTGAGGTGTGCCGTGGACAGACCGCTGCGAGAGATGTCACGTGATACCATGAAGAAACGTTTACCTCGTTCTCGCTATGTCACGTGTTCTAATTGTGCGTGCTACTACATTCAGTTTACAAATGGCCCTCTCTCATGGCCAGTGCATACAAGATAAGTATGATTATGCAAATTATGCAAATCCAAATGATTTACAATACATCCAGAATAAAGTCCAATGGGGGACAGTAGTGGATTATCTTCCCTTGATAAAAACCGAGGTTAACCAAAATATAAGTAGGTCCAAATATTTGGAATCCTTTGCTTTTATCGTTGAGTTTTATATAAGACAGGTTGATATGTCTTAATCAATTATTTACACATGCATCAACAAATATGTAAACCTTAAGGAAAAAATGTTTAATTTATGTCAGCAGATTCTACATCCTATTGCAATATCTAATCTGAATATTACAAATGATCATAATAAGCCCTAATTAATTCAGTTTGCTACAAAGAAATAGGCGATAAAGTCCGAGTAATCCAATAGCTTAGGACCTATCTATTTATAGGGAGTACTCAGGGGAGGTTATTCACTACTGTCCCTGATTGTAATCTTAATAGTAAATGATCTGTGAGCGGGATTTATTTGGCAAGGTTTCCGTCATGGGCGCCTTGTTTTGCGCGGAGCCTCTCAATTGCTGCATTTCAGCAAAACTGTGTAGTTGTTGAATTGATATAACATAAAAATGCGGTCAAATGAATAAAAACGTTTAATATAATAAGTTTAACAATATGTGTCAATACTAGTTCATGGCTTGGTAACTGATTGTGGTTACCATTTTCGTTTGATTCTAAATAATGAATAATGTCACACCGTCATTAACCACGTACTTACCCGCTAATTTATTAACACGGTAGGTATTCGAGTTTAAAAATGTAGTAATTCCGTAGTTTCGAAAAACGGCGGTGTAATAATTAATTAAAAGGTACTGGTTAAATATTATTTTGATTTAAGCTCACCATACATAAACAAAGAAAACATAACAATAAATATATGCATGGCTTTTATTACAGCTATGTTATTTCTACAAAAAGATGTTAATGAATAAATGAGTAACAATTATTTGAAGTGTACACAATTTGTCACATCACACCAACATTTATTCCACTGTATATTTTATAAAAGGTACAATAAGATATACACATGAAGTGATATTTGCAACTTAATAATGTTTTATATTACTCATGTCTAGCTTATTAAACATTTAAACAATTTTTGTCACTTAGCTCACAAACAAGGGGGGAAACACGTACACAAAAAGTTCGTTCATAACTGAAATATAATTATATTTGTTACAACTATATTAATGCCAGTTGGTAGTCATACTATGGTATCAAATCAGTAACGCATGACTAATAAAGCCCCTAGGATGATCCTTAACCAATTCGGATCATAATTAAAACATCAAGTATAAGTGACGTAATCTGATGTTATTCTACAAATCTTACATATGCACCCTGGTGATTCATGATATTTTGGCCCAGTGCCGCTTGTATATACAACATATGCATTCTGAAAATCAAGCTGGATTACGAGCAAAGTACTCTACAGTAAACCATGTATTTACACATTAATGTTTGACAGATCCTAGGTTACAAAAAGAAACACACACTTATACATGTATGTTGTATTTTCTTCTACTTTTGATAATGTTTGGCACACGGGCCTATTCTTTAAACTTATTAAAACAGGCATAAATGGGAAAATATTTCAGTACTGCGAAACGTGTACGCAGATATAAAGTCATGTGTGTCCTTCAATAATGTTATTTCTCTTTTATTCTTTAATTTAACTGGAGTAAAACAAGGACAGAAACTTTCTCCGATTTTGTTTTCTATATATTTAAACGATCTTGAAAGCTATCCAGAGCAAAACACCCAAGAAATAACTGTGTATTTCCAGAGTTATGTATTTGATGTATATTAAAAACCTTTTTGTAATGCTATAGATGACACCATCATTGTTAGCGAAGACAAAATAGCATCCCAATCAACAATAAATGGTTTTTCTAACTATTGTAAAGCATGGAAACTTCAAATAAATATGACAAAGTCAAAGGTCATGGGCTCAAACAAACGCGAAATTTTCTCTTCACTCTTGATGTTAAACCCCATGAAACTGTTAAAGTGTATAAATAATTGGGAGTGGTATTTTCGTCCTTTGGTCCTTTTCGTAATGATAGAAAATCGCTTGCCTCTCATGCAAATAAATATGCATCTTTTATATAGTAGAATAGTCAATCTAGATTTACCTATTGACCCTCAACTTACGCTTTTCGACCAAAGAAATATTTAACCTATTCTTACTTTTAATTGTGAAGTGTGGGGTTTTGAAAATCTTGACATTCTGGTATAAATACACACTAATTTTCTTAGAAAAAGTACACATTACAGAAAAAGAACACTCTTTTACATGTTATATGGTGAACTAGGAGGTAATAATCAAAACCAGAATAATCAACTTAAATAATAAAAAAAATTCACCCCAATAATGTTAAACTGCGCTGATAAACTTGTTCGGGTAACCTTGAACCCCTGAAAAAACACTCGCTCAGTCGTATTAAGATTTAAGTATCAAATGAAAGATATTTTCAAGGATTATTATGAGTCATCTATTCAATTGACACTTTACTTTTGTCCTTGAAGCACAAAATAACTTTCAGGGCTTACTTACTTAAAGTAATTAAACAATAATCACATTTATTCTTTTGATTGGCATTTTGTTTCAAGTGCCAAGATGTTTTCCAAGTAGTTCTCCTTATCCAAAGTGACATGTCGCGACTGATGTATATAAATCAGAATAAACACTGTAATGCAAATAGTATAAGGAAGATATCACACCACGTAGATATCATTGTTTAATATAAAGAACACTCAAGAGGATATTATTAAGAGTCAAGTATTCTGCGGTACGGGTGTAAGACGCTTGAAGTTGTTGAAATTCTGTCTTGGTTTATATAAAATTAAGGTAAAAAGTTTAAACCGAAGTATTTTTGTCTTATTCTTTATTTGCTGTTACACTCGTTTATTGAAAATGCCAGTTGTGGTCACAGGTGGCTCTGAGAATATGACATCTTAAGTTGTTGAGTGTTTTTAATTTTGTCATGTAATAACAATTGCAATTTACATTACTTGCGCTAACAGTTATCCAAAGTTACCTGCCCTTGGCATTGTTTTTCAATGTTCGAGTTTAAATGAAAATCTGTCTTATTTGATGTATTTGTCGATTTAAAGGAGTTCATTGTGGTCTAAAAAGTATCTTAGATCATAGGTCAGTTTGGGCGCTTAAGACAGTATAACATGCGAAAGATGATTAAGAAAGAAAAACGCAGAATGAATTAAATGAATACCACTAATGTGCGATTCTTTATCTGATTCGAATGAAAATAATGTTGAAACGCTTATAAATTTTGAGTAAATTTGCTCAACAAAAATCATTATGCTTGGAAAAACAAGTGTGCGAATGATGGGAAATTGTGCAAACAAGCTTTTGGTATAGACCTTCATCATATGGTACAAAATTATACTAGATATATTTTGGAGTCTCAAGACTAGTTGCAATCTCTGGTATAGATAATATATTGCCAGTTAGCCTTTTCGTAAAACTTTGCCTTTGTATACAACGTTTCTCTCGACAATTGACAAAGTTTATTCGCCTTTCCATACTCTACGGTTTTGCATACGAAACGTTGCTCCATAGTACATCTTTGGACACAATCTTCTAACGAAATAGAGGTAATACTTTTATCATTAAAACCTTTTATCGTTGTGTCTAGTTCAACTTGGAAAGTGTTACCATACCCATGATCCCCGCAGTCTGAAATTAAAATTCATTTAAAAAACAAGCATAAAGGAAGAAAAAATACTAAAATTTCAAGTGAAGTGTTGTTGTTTTTTTATTCCATACAATTTATATACAAAATGTATCGAAACACGTGCTATCAGTTATTATAAAGAATAAAAAGAAAGTTTAAGGAAAAGATATGGAGGATAATTGTTCGTATAAGGATACAATCAAGTGTATTTTCCTGTCTTAAACCTCGTATGTACATTGGTATATGTATAGATTTTTATGTACCGACAAAATACACTTTCGTTAAGAGCATGTCCTAAGAACATGATTTAATGCTTGGAATAGATTTTGTTAAACATGTTAAAGAGTTACCTGTGAGACACGTTTTCGTTTCATGGTGGTAGCTCAGACCAGGTTTACATTTACAAGTCATCCATTTACATTCTGAATTCTCGACGTCACTGCACGTTTCGTTTGTTTGACATAATTGTCTCATCGAACTTGTTTTCTCCTCTTGTATACTGGAAACCTGTGTAATAAGTTATATACTTTAAAAAATCTCCAAACAAACATTAATACGGTGTTCCGTTAGGGCCAGCGCGATTTCTCTGAGAACAGAAAGCGCGAAACATGATAGTACGATGGTGACAGTACAACAGTATGATGGTGACTGTACTGTCGTATTTTTCTATCGTACTGTCGGTTTGCAACCAAAGTATTGTTGCCTTGTAATGTCCCCTCAGTCTTTCAGTGGATTAGCTATTATTTTTATCATCAAATTTATCACCATGACAGTAACTCAGACTTTACATTTACATGTCATTCGTTTACATTCTGAATTCTCAATGTCGCAACACATCGTATTGCGTAATGAGCAAAACTGTCTCATAGAACTTTTTTGTTGACTCTTCCGTCTTGCCTTTCCCTTCGGTTACCTGTATCCGCCCGAACACGAATATTTCAATATCAAAACATAAATGATGATAACTATAATTTTAAAAAGTATAACATTGATGATGATGATTTTAATAAAAATGTTAATATTGATGATGATGATGATGATGATGATGATGGTGATGATTATTATTATAATGAAATAGTATTGATGGTGATAATGATGACTATAATAAAGGTGGTGATGATGATTATAATAAAATAATATTGATGATGATGATGATGATTTAAATAGAAATGTTAACATTGATGACGGCGATTATGATGATAATGATGATAATAAAATGATAAAATTAATGGTGATTATGATTATTATAATGAAATGTTAAGTATGATAATGATTATAATTATAAAAAATGATAATATTGATGATGATAATGATAAATATGATGATAATAAAAATAGCTGATCCACTGAAAGACTAAGTGGACATTACAAGATAACAGTAGCTTTTAGAAGACCTTTTTTAATCAAAGTTTAGTACACAAAGGTTAAAATGTTTCAAATTTTCACGAACAGATTACTATTTAGAGTTGCAATGTCTTTCGCTTTCATTTTTTTTTATTGGACAGAACAATTTTACTTAGCGGGATATATTTTATATTCACTGACAACAAACTGAATTGAACTTACATTCTTAAGTAAGCCGGCCATATTGTGTTGCAATAGGTCCACTTTTTCAGCGAGTTTGGAGAGTTTGGCGTTGTTTTCGTTTACATTTCCTGTCTTTTCCTCAATTATCGTGACATGAGTTTTCAAAGCTTTTAGACCAGACTCTGCCCTAATAACTCTTTCCAGAGTTTGAGCCTCGTAGTGATATCTTGAACATTCTTCTAAAATTGCAAGTTAGTCACGACATTGAAACAATTAAAATACAAGTATGTTTACGTCAAAAGTGCCCGAAGTGCATTAAGCAAATATCTATCTGGCTAAAAAAGGTAGAGAATGCAAGCCTAGACTAACTTGGGGTAATATACTATATATATAGTGTTCAAGGTTAAATTCTTTCCGTTAGTAACGCGTATCAATTTTGTTAGAAAAAGCTTATTACAAATATTGAGGACAAATCTGTAACATTTTGAGGAAAAATAAGTAGACAAAATGACACGACTGTATGAACAGTGTTATAAGCGATTCTTTAGATAAAATGTCCTGACCATATAACTGAGGCTTAATAACAATCAACTTAAAGTTCATTACACTCATTTGTTTATATTATTTATTATTTATTATTATTGGTTAATATTGATTGCGCTGAAATACATGTTACATGAACATTATTTTGTATATGAATATGTACTTTGTAAAAATCAAAAATAAAAGCTCTGTTCAAATGTGTGAGAGGCGCATTAAACTCCTTTTCGTAAAATGTTTCTTTCAAGCATTTATCTTCTGTAACAAACTATAAACTTATCAATTCCTAAATATTACAGAAAATCTTAGATAGGGATAAATAAATGTTCCATTATCTGAAATATGTTTAAATGAAGAAATTTCTTTTTAGAACATACAGTATAAATTTGAAATGTCTTAATAAGAATTTTCTTTTATACAAAACATTCCAGATTTTATAAAACATAGTACCTGAAATAACACTTCCCGCCAAATTAGCGCAGCAGACGGCAAAGAAAATAGAAGCCCACATTTTGTAAAATTTAAAATTTTCACTACCGCGTGTCCTGTTCACTTTTTAATGTAGAATGAAGGACGCGCAGTCAATTATACTTGATAATATACATTGATATTACGTTTTGGTCACATGACTAATTACATTTCATGTTGCTAAAGATAGGTATTTTACATGAGCCTCACGGTTATTATTCTTACATATTCAGCGTCTGAGGAACGCTATTGTAACACTAACGGCATTTGTTTAGTAACGGCTAGCTTTATTTTAATATTTATACGTAGTCTGCGGTATAAATATGAATGCTAAATGTACGAACATGTTTTTAAGCCAAAATGACTCAAATTTTGCAATACATAATTTATGTACAGAGTGGATTTTAAAAAAATAAAAAGGCGAATTGTTTTAATAAATGACAAGTCTTTTATAGATCTGCAATAGATTGATCTTGTATTGTTGATTTGTAAATATATGATTATATATGAATGAGACTAAAATAAAGAATAATATGTATGTTATATAACCCAAGATGTTTGATTTTCATTATAAAACAACCAGTCATAAACAAGATCCATTCGTTACGAACATTGAGAGTGCATATGAAAAAAGTTTATCACCGCGTTGTACAGGCGCCAATGATATAAATATTACAAGTGGGTTATAATTTTGGTTATGTCATTGCTGTGAACTTTTTGTCCATTGAGTTAATATACTAACAGTTTATTTTTGATTCGTTTCGCCAGTTATTAAAATTTTGAGCGGGTTAAAAGTAAATCAATCTTATTAAAATCACATCCATATTAATGCTATGCATTAGGATATGATGGGTATCTTCTTTTCTAACAGGCAATTATTGGCATAATTTGTGTATGATTTGTGTATGTGGTTGAACTAGAATCCTTGATGCGTGAATGTGGTCTCGCATCAGAATCCTTGATGCGTGTATTTGGTTGTGTGGTCATCTTTCGCACTAGAACCCTTAATGCGAGTATGTGGTCGCCCGATCAGCTTTCGCATTAGGACCATTAATGCGTGTATGCTGTCTCACACTAAAAAGCTAAATTCATGTATGTGGTCGCACGATCATCCTTCGCACTAGAGCCATTGATACGTGTATTTGGCCTCACAGTCAAACAATTGAATAATTCTAATCTGAAAAAGTACACAATGGCACTCTAAAATTTGAGATTTTTGTTACACGTACACAGTTTGGATAATTACTCCTTTATTTACAACTTGCTTCTTACAAAAATTCTGGTCATTACCTTCTTGTTACAACCGTGCAATCTACTCTACTCACATCAACTATTTAATAAGTATCATGTAGATATTATTTAGATTGCTCATTAAAAAGTGCACTAGGATGTCATAACTTTTTATTTTAAACTAGTGACAATTACCATCTCAATAACTCGAGGGGGGAGGGGTTACTCGAGGGATGGAGCTAATAATAATATGATAATTTGTAAGGAGTTATTGTGATAACAGTTACTGTCGGAAATGTTTTGTATTAACTACAAAATCACTCGTCAAAAATGGTAATTTTCATCTTTTAAAATTGTGTTTTAGGTGCTTAATTAAACTTTATGATTAAGGTTGCCTCACATCTTGTATTATGTGTGTCAAAAACTAATTCATAGTCTATTTTACATTGCCCCTTGTTTAAAATTTTGCAGTTTTCAGTGAAATTTCCAAGTTATTTGACAATTCGCACGCATTGACCTGTTTATTTCTGGTCTTCATCCTTGCCATACATAATTACCTAATAATAATGCAAATTGTAAACATAAAGCCCAGGCTGAAAAATTTATACCTGATTTTTCAATTGTATAAAGACAATGCTAAGTATTCCATGTACACTATTTAAACAACATGAACACTGCCTAGGTTATGCGCTATGCTCTGTATACCATGAACACTATTTTAACACTATTAACACTGCCTATGTTATGCGCTTTGCTCAGTGTGCCATGAACACTATTTAAACACCATGAACACTGTTAACATTACAGATAATGCTAGCTTTAATACACTGCTCAAATTACCATTTATATTTTGTCTATAGACAAGGCTTACTATACCATGTACAATATTAAAACACCATGAACACTGGTTAACATTTTAGACAATGCTCTCTTTATCATGTACAATTTTGTAACACCATGCACACTGCTTAACATTTTAGAAAATGCTCTCTTTATCATGTACACTTTTTGTAACACCATGCACACTGCATAACATTTTAGACAATGCTCTCTTTATCATGTACACTTTTGTAACACCATGCACACTGCTTAACATTTAAGACAATGCTCTCTTTATCATGTACACTTTTGTAACACCATGCACACTGCTTAACATTTTAGACAATGCTCTCTTTATCATGTACACTTTTGTAACACCATGCCGCTGCTTAACATTTTAGACAATGTTCCTTTATCATGTACACTTTTGTAACACCATGCACACTGCTTAACAGTTTAGACAATGTTCTCTTTATCATGTACACTTTTGTACACCATGAACACTGCTTTACATTATAGAAAATGTTCTTTTTATTATGTTCACTTTTGTAACACCATGAACACTGCTTAACATTATAGAAAATGCTCTCTTTATCATGTACACTTTTGCAACACCATGCACACTGCTTTACATTTTAGACAATACTCTCTTTATCATGTGCACTTTTGTAACACCATGAACACTGCTTAACATTATAGACAATGATCTCTGTACCAAGTCGTTATCTAAAAACCATGTTAACATCATGGACAAGGCTCACTTTATCATGTACAGTTTTTAAACTCCATGAATATTCTTTAACACTAGTAGAACATCCTCATCGCTTACCTTAACACTGGTTACGACAATCTATTTTCTTCTCGCATCACACAGGAAACTGTCTTTTCATAGGTCTATCTCACTGCACCAGGCATTCCAGCCCAGTTTGCTTTTTGATACGCTGCTAAAGTATCTTTGTTGATCTTTTCAATCAGACCATATACTTACCATCTTAAAGATACATTTTCGTTCTACGGTATGAACATATAGACTTATTAGCGCCGCGCTTCGTTGGCGTTAGCGCCGAATCGCGGCGCCTCTTATGGAATGGGAAAGGGCAATTGCAACTTCTTGTGCCTTTAAGTCGTTCATAATAGCCGGTCGTTCCGATTGGAGGGTGTTTGATTATTAAAAATGAAATCTCGCGATAGTACAATGAATAGCGAACTGGAGAATTTCGCAATGCAAACATATTCAAATGAAATAATGGAAATAATCTTCCGTCAATTAATCGCGCTCTAGTAATCATATTGTAGTACATGGTATGTTATTGTATTCCGTATAGAATAAAATCAAGCACCTCACTACAAATAAAAATATAAACACTTTCTTCAGGACGATTCTTAAAATCGTTTACATCATCTATAATAATCATGAGTGTCTGTCATAAAAAATCATTCTTTTATTAAACCAATAAATTGATGAATGAAGGTCTATTACTTTAATTTAATGTTTGTGATAATTAGTACTGTATTTTTTTATACATTTCTTTTGTTATATTATTGTGATACAATTTTACTTTTTTTGGAAAGAAATATGAAAATAAGATGTACTTTAGTTTATTAACTCTTTACACTTACGGTAAATATTACTTTCTTCAAATAAAGGTTTATAATTATTATTATTATTATTATTATTATTATTATTATTATTATTATTATTATTATCATTATTATTATTATTATAATTATTATTATTATTATTATTTCTATTATTATTATTTCTATTATTATTATTAATTTATTATTATTATTATTATTAATTATTTTGATTTTTATTATTATTTTTTCTTTATTATTATTATTTTCGTTCATGACTTCTATGAACAAGACCTTAAATATTTAGAAATAAAAGACAAATGTCTATTCGAGAGTGTTTAATAAAGTATAAATTCATTTCAACGAATTAGATCAAAAATAAATTCAGTTCAACAAATTCATTTCAACTAAATAAATGTTCCCCAGGACTTTTTTAGTTTAAAATTTATTTTGGTAGTAACATTTTCATCGTCCATGGAAATATCAATTCTAGTATATAACGGAAATAATTGAGGTTAAAGGAACTCAACTGAGGTCCAAAAGCATTAAAACCTAAATTTGAAATTCTTACATAGATACATACATTCTTACATAAGCTGGAGGCACAGAAAGATATGCAAAAGAAACTGAAAATAAACCCAGACATAATTATATTGAAAATCGTATTTTTGTGCTATTCTTAGCCAGACTACAGTGAAAAGCTTTGTTAGATTTGGGTCATTTTTCAAATTCAGAATAATCTGGAAAAACGGAATATGCGAATAAGCGAATGATCAAAAGCTTTATACACAAGTTATTTAAGTCTAGACTTAAATCAAATGTAACTTTTATCTCGAAAAATTATTTCGAGTTCCATCATTTTAAAATGAAACCGCTCAAGAACATTTGGTAAAGCATATTAATTGAGCCGCGTCATGACAAAACCAACATAATGGGTTTGCAACCAGCAGGGATCCAGACCAGTCTGCGCATCCGCGCAGTCTGATCAGGATCCAAGCTATTCGCTTACCAATCCTATTACAAGTAGAGAAACTGATAGCGAACAGCATGGATCCTGATCAGACTGTGCGGATGCGCAGGCTGGTCTGGATCCATGCTGGTCGCAAACCCACTATGTTGGTTTTGTCGTGACGCGGCTCATTTGATTAAAAGTGTTTTTGTTTTGTTTCTTTGGTCGTCTTTAATACTTCAATATTACTTTAATATAAAATTAAAATCAGTAAAAATTGAGAAAGTTCTGTAATATCATAATCAGTAAATTTTGAGATTTTCTTCAAATGAAATCAGTGTTTAATGCCATAAGCATTAGTGAAAAATTGGATGTTTGCTATTTTCAGAATTACTAGACATTAAGATTATGCCTTTAAAATCAGTAATGATATTTTAAAATCTGCCGGATTTGTCTTTATTATTCAGCATTATTTTTAAAATCAATGAAACGGGAGATGTTAAATGTAATTATCATTTAAAATTGAGACATTTTGTATAAGAAGAAAAGTTAAGATTCCTT